GGAGATGTCACCTTTGGCTTGGAGAGCACGTGGGCATGTTACATTCACTACATTTCTGAAGATAAAAATCTATATTCTGGGCAGCACTTCTCAACTTTGAAAAATGGTCTTTAATTACTCTGCCCTATGACTCATTAATCTTTATTGTGCTTGGTTTTGGTTTTACTAAGTTATGTTATGGGGAGCTGGGGAGAGAGGTGACTAGCACAGAGGATGTAACATTTCTTTCCTGTGCTGAGCACCATGTAGTGCTCAGGTATTCCTGGAAGCTATAGCTGCACCAGAGAAGTTTCTAATGAGCCAAGAAAATTTGCCATATGCTTGAGACCCCTTCAAAATGACTAAATTCAATCAAGCTTCTTTCTTTATAAATAACTTCCATCAAGCCAAGAAGCAAACAGTCTCTGCCTGAGCTGCCTCTGTAAATCCAGCTGTTTGTGCAACTCCTCAGTTGCTGGTGAGACTTTGTTTCCTGAAGCTTACAGGTGAAGGCGAGTGTTGTAAGCCAGAAAGAAACAAAGGCATATTAAATAAAAGTTACCATGACAAATGCCCGATTTTCTCCATTTTAAGAGTTGTGTGGTGGAGATGATGTTTATGGTGAGAGATGCTTGCAGTGTTGATTATACTGAGGGAACATTAATACCTCATAACTCTGACCTGCACTGAACTGATGCAGAAATAGCAGAAGATAAACATGCTTCATCCTGGAACTGTTTCTACTAAGAGAGAGCTCCTGCCTGCGGCACCCAGTTATCACTGAATCTCTGTACAGAGCCAAAGAATCATGTAAACTGAAGGGATCTCTGCAGGGCATCAAGTCTGACACCCTGCACAAGGCAGCAATCACTCGGAGTAGGCTGTTCAGGGTGGTGAAAGTCTTGACACAGTACCTGCTGGAGATACAAGGAATTTCCTCAATGCCAGGCGATGTTACTCGGGGACACAGTTTTCCTTCACGTTGCTGATACATTATCCTTCTGACTGAGCAGAGCAAAACATGAAATACTCATGAGGAGAAAAGGCGCTTGTGGCGTAGCCTGTGACGGGGAGGCAAAGCACGTGCTGCACTTCTGAATGCTACAGCTACTGCTACACCGTACCTGACCAGCTGTTCCAGTGCAAGATAATGGGACGGAGCCATCAGAGCAGTAGTGCTGCTGAATGGCTCCCTGCAGTCAATGTGCCGGACTTCTGGATGCAAATGGCACATTAGTACTGGTGCTGCTGAAGAACTGGCAACAATTAAGCAGTCGTCTTCTCTCGGCTACTTAATAGGAACACAAGCGGTCTATGTACCATGATGAATGTGCTTTATGCCACTGCCTGATCAAACTCCCACCACAGCCTGCTGATGCATGGTACTTCTCCACAGAAACTTTCAAGAGAGTTTGGATTGTTGATGGCTCAAAAAAACATTTAAAAAAAAATCTGCCTTCAACTAAGTAGTCTCGCTCTAAGTGGTTTTAAATCTCTCAGGAAAGCCTATCTCCAAAGCCCAAGTATTAATGAGTGCATTTAAAGGCTTTAAATTGACTACAGGTTGATAGGTTCATGAAGACCTTTCAGCAGAAAATATCTCCTTCCAAAATGGGGAGACATTAGAGTGAGAGGCAAAGTTACACTGCTGTAAATTATGAGAAACCTGAATTTGTAACTCATCTCAAATCACATAGTAGAGAAGCCTGTAAGAGAAACTTTGCTCAAAAAGAAAGGGAAATAAATGGTTTATTTGCCTTACTTTTTATCACTGCATCTGGGCAGGGATCATCTTCCTATTTACTTGTTTGCCTTGTTCACTGTTACCATTTCTCCCTTGTGATGTGAGCTCTCCCCTTCTCTTGGGGAAGCTGTCAGCTGCTGTGTGTTTGCACAGCATCTCCTACAGTGGACTACACCTGTAGAAGCAATCAAAATAGGAAAGAGTTCACGCAGTGATACCAGCCATCCCAAATGCTAACAACTCTGACCTGCCTGTTGGCTTTGATTGCCCAGAATCATGTGCTTTCCTCAAACTTTCAGCAAGTAGTTAAAATTTGCAGAAATTCCTTTCATCCTCATGCAGACATTTTAAACAGGTCAGAAGAATTATGCTCCATAAGTGCCTTTTTACTTACTAGTAAGAGAATATTGAGGTGACCACCTTAAGGAGATGCATGTGTGGACTGCATTGAAGCCAAATCCTGTTTTTATGAGGATTACTGTAAAAGCAGACATACAAAAAGGAAAAACTGCTCTGAATTTACCAACTTCCATTTAAACAACACAGACACTGACCAAGCACCATTACTAGGCTGGGAATGTCAACACATCTTCCCTAGGGCCCACCTCACCTACTTTTGGGTATGTCCAATGTAGCAGTCAACATCTGAGCTAGTGACCCTGAGTTCCCCTTATACTCAGTAAGAAGACATAAGCATGCTCAGAGTGCAGTGTATTTCACCTGCTTGAAATACCTTATGATGCCCCAGAAGAACCTGCTTCTTTTCACTGACCATCCAATTTTCCTCTGCAGTATTGCCAGGAAACTGGGTGCTGGAGCTGCCCAAGAGCAGATGCACCTCTGAATGTCCCCCTTTGCTCTCTGCAAGGAAGACGACAATTCTGGGAATGTCTAAAGGTAACCCCTAGGCTTCTCTCTATATTAGGACGGAAGGAGGTTTCAGCCTAAGTGGTAATGAAGCATCTAGGATAAAGGACAGAGCTAGATGCTGGACAGGAGAGGTGATTTTCTCTGTCCTTAGCTGCTAAGTAAGCAGAGGGATGAACAACATGAAAAGTACAGGTAAATTACTGGAGAAAGGGTGCAATAAACATGCTAAAAAATGTGTTACCGATACCTTGGTACAGTGACACCAATGACAGGGGGAGCTGATGAAAATGTCTTTTTCCAAACTGATTTCTCTCAAGTTTGCTAAAGGGTAAATGGCATGTCTGGAATTTTTGTGTAACATTATTATTGGATTTCATTGCTGCAGGAGACTGTAAAGCTTTTCCTACCCCACAGTGACACTGCTGACATCAAATGGGTCAACCCCAGTTGACAGAACAGAGTTCTTCACATTTACAAATTTCCTATACAATTTCCTATTACCGCTCAAACTTAACAATAATTTATCCTGTGTGTCCTAAAAATTCTGCAGGCAGCTGAAGACACATTCAGATGAAGTAACCCTGCTAGTTTACTGATTCTTCTGTTCTGTTCACAATTACCTCCCTGTAACAGCTATTATGCAGCATCTAAAACATGTGGAAATTCTTTCCAGTAATGTTATTTGATCTACGTATGCGATGTAGCTGAAGATTTCAGGCATCCTCTTCTAATTATGCAGTAAAATGTATAGCACCAGATACTGTGTGAGAACAAAAGAAACATTCCATATAACTTTTTTTTTTCCTCAGGATACTTCTGGTGTGTTCTAAGGAGAAATGAGATTGGAGATGTTATCACTCTTTTTTCTTAAAACAAAAGAATTTTCAGTGGACTATTACACCTGGAAATAAATAATCCTCTACCCTTTCAGCAAGGTAATGGGGACCATCAAAATGTAGTAAGAGTTTCACCTGCCTCCTCAGAAAAGCCTACAAAGTGAACAGCATTTCATACGGCTGGCTCTGTGGATGAGAGTATGGGCAATAGGTTTCCCTGCTTACAGAAGGACCACAGACAAGGAGCTTTTAAAAAAGGTTCTGCATGTAGATTCCCTCTTTCCTTCTTTGTGGCTTACACTGCCTCACCATCCTCTGCAGGCGAGGCACAAGCACTGCAAGTGATGAAGCCTGTATCAAAGATGAGAAACCATCCATGGGGATGTACGACGTGACTGGCAGGGCAGCCCTCTGCCAAACCCGAGCGTTGCAGTCAGATCCCGAGGACTGGCCCAGCACCAGGGATGGACATGGCTGACTCCCACCTCCTTCTCATCGCATCCCGTGAGCTTGGGGCTTCCTGTTCCCAGTAGAGAGACCATCCCAAGGTGAAGGATAAAGTAATTATTCAGTTCTTCAATGCACACTTCATTTCCCTTTTCTGAATCACAGTTCAAGTCCCTTTTAGACGTACCCTTGATATCAGCACAGTAGTCTAACTACAGACAGTCCTAACTTTAAAACAAACTACATCAATACTGTATAATGGATAGGATTCAGTTTACATGCCGGATACATATGCAAGTATGTATGCACTTTGCAAAAAAGCACTGGAAATTCATTAGTTTTTAAACTTATAGGTATACATTTCAAATTTTCTTTTTTTTTCTCTTAGGAGCTTGTTGCTTTTCAGTGCATCAGTACCGTACGCTACTGTGTTAACAGTATCAGACTATTCAGATGGGTCCAGAATGTTCTGACAAGGCTCCAGTGTTGAATGCGTCCCGAGGGCTCTCTCCTCCTGCCAAATCCTAGGGGAGACAGGGGTGCCTCAGCTCCTCAGAGGATCTATTGTCCCATCGTGCTTTGCAATAGGGAGACAAGACTGGAACTGCAGTTTAGTCCTTCAGTTCACTGGGTAAAAGTCATCTCTATGCATAAGTCCTCTGCACCACCTAAGGTCCTCTTTTAGACCTGAAATTAGGATGTAAAATGGATATAAGCGGTGCAGAGATCTGACTTGGGTTGCCTGCAGAGGGGTGAATTTCACCTACTAGGAACAGCTACAGCCAGGTTTCTGAATCTGCATGAAAGTGCTGAGAATTCGCACCGTTTACTGGCTTGGCTGGGGAATGAAGATGCTCACAGGAAATGTTTGACACTTTTGCAGGAATTTGGCTTATTTTGTACTAGAGAACAGATACGCTATATCTGAATTTCTAAACTTATTGTACTGGCATCAGAGTAACTAGAAACCACAAAACATAGCATGAAAACAAAAAGGAGAGTAGACTATGTATAGATATATTTACACCTACATACAGCTACATATAGAAGCTTCTGTTCACTGGGAATCCTATAAGCCACTGCCTGCAATAGCATCCATCCTAAGGGAATTCTGGAGATGATTCTTAAGAGACTGAGGAGATGGGGTTATGAGGTGAGCCCATCTGTGTCAGCACCTTATCCAGCCATTGCAATGGTCCATGCAGGTGGATCTCAATCCAGCAGGGCGTGCTTGTAACATCTTGGCGATGGTACTCTGCTCCCCAGCCCTATAAAAGCATCAAAGGACCAAAAAGTGAGGGGTTTTTTAAAAGAAACATTATATCACAGCTACAGGTAGTTCATCACCCAAGTTCCCAAGTGTGCTGGGTTTGCGCGGTGGAGGGTGGGGGGGGATGTTTTTGGTAGTGGGGGAAAGGGCCACCTTGTGAGAAGCCTGGCTCCAAGGCATACCCCCTCCCCAGCCCAGGCTGAGGGGGGGGGGGGGGGGTCGTTTTTGGTAGGGGAAGGAGCCACCTTGTGAGAAGCTTCGCGAAAGCTCCCCTGGCTCCAAGGCGGAGACACCCCAGCCCAGACTGAGACAATTAGCGACAGAGAAACACCTCTGCGAATCCGTATTTGTGAGGGGAAGGGCTGTCTTGAAAGAAGAAGGTGGAGAGAACCTGGAGGAGAGGCCACTGACCTGAACTAAAGACGACCATTGGCCTAAACAAAGAGAGAGCTTTGTTGCCAGGAGGAAGGAGGAGGAGGGGGAGGACAGAGAACCTCAGACACCCAATTCAACCCCTTGGAGCAGGAGAAGGCAAAGGAGGTCCCTGCAGACAATGGGAGTTCAAAGGCAGAGCAGATACCCACGTGTAGGCCATGGAGGACTCCACGCTGGAGCAGAAAGCCTGAGGGCAGGTGTAACTGAAATTGAGACCCCGAGAGATGCTCAATGCCAGAGTGAGGGTGGACCCCCAGAGCTGGGGGGTGAGGAGGTGTGCTGGGCTGGAGGCCTGTCTGCAGCCCATGGACGTCCCCATGTCAGAGCCAGGAGCTGAGCCCAAAGAGGTCCATGACTCCATGGGAAGCTTGCTTTGGAACATCTTGTTCCTGGACTTCCATGCCAGGAAGAGTGGCAGAGGTGAACTGACTGTACCCCCATTCCCTGTCCCCTCTGCCACTGGTGGGAAAGGTAGAGAAATCAGGAGCAAAGTGATTTGAGCCAGGGAAGAAGGGAGGGGTGGGGGGAAGGTGTTGTAAGATGTGGTTGTTATGTCTCATTGGGCTACTCAGATGAATGGCAATTAATTAAATTGATTTTTCTTCCCCAAGTTGAGTCTGTTTTGCCCATGACTGTAACTGGTCAGTGAGCCGTCCCTGTCCTTCATTCCTAATCCCGTGCCTGCTTTGTTGTGATTCTCTTCCCATCTCAGCAGGTGGGGGAGTGAGTGCAGGACAGCATGGTCCCACTGTGGTTAAACCACCACACCAAGATTTAATGCTTTGCCCTAAGGAAAATCTTCTCTAGCAACTTCACTCCTTTTTAAGGTCATTCATTGTTATCACAGTTATCGGGGACTGCATACTATTAAATCAAAATGCTCAGTCACACTTCTAGGTGCTGAGACCAACTGGCATGGAAAGGCCTGTTTCCAAGCTTGGCTGCCTGCAAACAGCCCATGGGGAATGGTCCCTGCTGTTCGCACCCCAGAGATGTGCCCAGGCAAGTCTGCCAGACAACTGTCTGGCAGAGACAAAAAGCAGGCCAGGCCCTGTCATAACACTTAACAGGAACTGGGAATTATCCTGGGCACTGCTTCATTTATTGGTAGAGAGGCATCCCACAAATCTGAGACTCTAGAAGTTCTAGGTTATTTATCTGAACCTCTGGAAACTTCCTGCAAGGTACCTCATGTCCCCTTTACCTTAAACTTAACCTATGTATAGACATTTTCCATAGGTTTTCTATCCTTGAACAATGTCCACTTTTTGCATGGGAGTTCTGGGCTGTCTGTTGGGGGAAGTCCTGTAGTAATTTCTCCAGCTCTTTCAGGGAGATAAGGGATATGGAGAGTCTGGCAGAAGATGGGGATGCAGTGCTGGCAGGGAGAAAAGAGCACCAGAAGTCCCCGCACCTCAAGCGGGCACAGTGTCTACTTGGTAAGCAGGCAGCCTGACTTCACAGCAACACAAGACATCCAAGTCACAGCCCCAGGTCTCACAGCTGACCGGCTGCCTCACTGCCAGAACTGAACTTGGATTTCCATAGGGCAACATGCAAAATGCAGCCCCACTGCAGGATGAGGCTCCCCCTTTGTAGGCTGCTGATCAGAGAAGCTGAGCCTTCCTTATCACCCTGCTCGTCAGGAGGGTTGACATTCTTGTTGTAAAAAAAGGACATGCAGGTATATTAAGATGGATGCCTGCCAAAGGTACCTAAATTGTGGAGTGCTGAACAACTCAGACAACTGAGGCTTCTAGAACCCACTTCTCTAGACAATCATCTGCAAAACTAGGATCAACACCAAAACCAGATGCCATAATGAGTGGTCTGGATAAAATAAATTCCTACTTAATGAAGAAAAGGGGGAAGAAAGCAGAAGAGTAAAATATGGACCCACCAAAGCCCAAAGAGTACTTCTAATCAGGCAACGTTTTTCTGACCTTTCTGACCACTTACCAGGCTAGAAAGGGCCTGTGTTCACAGGCACCTCAGATTTATGTTCTGCAAACCTTTACGTGAAATGCCACTCTTTAAACCAGCACAGCCAGGCTTCTGAGTTTGCGAAGTCTTAAGTACTCAGCTGCAGTGAAGATGCACAGCCAGAAGGGCAAGTGTCAGAGGAGTCGAGGCACCTCTCCTGACTGGCAGGATGGAAAATAATCCGGAGGAATGGGAAGGAATGACAGACTGCAAGCACAACCTGCGGGATCTGGAGGAGCCTGGCTGGCCACCCCCCTCTGCTGGCATCTCCCAAAGGCTCACAGCCACCATCCCCAGCCCTGTTGCTCCAGCTGCTGCTCTCCAGCTGCTGGCTGGAGCTCCCAGCAGGGGAAATGCCAGGAGGGTAGGACCCCTGTGCCCCTCAGACATCACTCCTGGGACACAGGGAGCTTCCTTCATCCCTGGGGGCTGAAATGAATTCAGAGGTGGAGCTCTCTTAACAAGGGAATAAAATGAGAACAACTTGCAAAGCTGTGGTGGTGTTTTGTGCAGATGGTGGGAAGAGGATACTGATACCCCCCCAGAGAGACCAGAAAAGTGCCTTCTGCATGGGAGAGATCAGCCAAGGGGTCCTGCTGCTCCTGCCAGCCCTTCCCACCTCCTAGGGGCAACAGCTCTCTCCAGCCCAGGCTCCAGTCATGTCCCAGAGCACTCAGCTGCCAAGTGCTGGGGAGCACAGCCAAATCTGCTAGGTGGTCCCCTTAGCCCCAAGACTTTGGCTTGGAGAAACTGTCTCTTCACTTTGTGCTTCAGCTGCTTCATCTGTGGAGAGGGGGCAATAGCCATCCATCTTGCTTTGGTTATCAGCAGCACTCAGCAGATGGAAATTGTTGTCTGCTCTTACTGATGATAGACTTACATTTTCCTGAGGGTTGAGATCCTCTCAGCTGTTCCATGGGCACACAAAGGGTATCAGAGGGGGCAGAACCTTCACCTCCCTCTGTCCTGTGTCCTGCCTCCAGAAGATGATACAGTCCTGGCAAGTTTCTGATATCTTGGTCCCTACCCATCTCAGCTGGTAGCTCAAGCATTGGTGGGGTAGGAAGCAGGGTGTCCAGCCCTTTGGCTCTGCTTGCTCTGTGGGCTGTAGGTGACCAGCAGCATCTGGTCACAAATCAGGGGAGAAGCCAAAGGACTCCCCTGCACCTGGTGGCTCTCAGCATGTGACTCTGACAGCCAACATGCTCCTCTGTGCACTGCATACCCAACACCCAAGGGCATTCCTTCTCCAGACTAAACACACCAGGGCTCACACCTTGGAAGAAATATAATTCAAGAAAACTGCATACAGCAAAGGGTTTTTGCAGGTCAGGAAGGAAGAACCTAGATGAGATTTACATAGCCATTTTCCAAAGGTCATGGGAAAGGGTTCAAAATGACTCCTTGCACAGGTCTTCTGGTGCCTGAGGCACTATAGTGGCTGCTATTGTTTCAACAAAGCAAGGTGATAATGTGGCAGCAGCTCTATTTAGTGCATCAACACTACCATTTCTGCTGCCATGCTAGGCATGGAGGCAGATAACACATCAAAGAGACTGCCCCGGAGTTGCTGAGATAATGAAGATATGGCATAACTGGCTACACTGCCTTTATAAACAAAATGCCTATTCATGTCGTCCATTAAAGAAAACATTGTTTGTTGGGTTTCTTGCTTTCTTTTTTAACCCTAATGCTCTGTGTGAGCAAGATGTCAGTTCCTTCTCCAGAAAAAAGCAACAACATGGTCACGAGCAGAGAGATTTTGGCTTGTACTCTTGGGAAAAGTTACAGGGCACTCTTAATGCTCTCAGAAAGTTAGGGAGATGGGTCACCATAGGTGGCTGGAAAGAGTCAGAACCAGAAAGCTGTGTGGGACTCAACTCATCTGCTTTGCAGAACATAGGGGAACTGGGCTCTAGCCTTAAGCAGTTTTGTAGTGTCTTAGATGTGAATTCAATCAGCTTCATTCAGTCATTTGGATAGAACCAAATCTTCAAGACAAAGGGAGCCACTTCTTCTAGTACCTAGCAGGACCAACTTTCTTCTAATGGTGCAACTTCTCTAGTTTGCAGGCTGAACATTGCTGCCAGCTCTCCACAGCAGCACGATAGGAAGTCTAGCACATCTGTAAAGAGCCTTGAAATACTCACCATTCTCTGGGGTTTAGATGCTATAATAGATACCTAAGTAAATTCTAAGTACTAAAAGGAGCAAAGAGATCTCATTCTGGTGAGAAGGCCATTCAGAAGATTTAAGAAACTCCCACAAAGACTGATAGATAGCACACACAGCCATCAGACTGCAAAGTTCAGACGTGAAAGACATGGAAACAGTAATGGCTTTGTTGGCTTTCTGTCTCTTTCAAATAACAGCGAGGTTAGATGTTCTTTGGGGTTTTGTATTCTGCTTGCAAGAAGCCCTTCTGGTAGTGTGGCTGGCCGGAATCAATGTCATCAGAAATTAAGACAATTTCTTGCCAGGGATCAAACAGGTGGCAAACAACAACAATTCCCAGCAAGCTCAGTGGAGGCTGAAGGAGGACCCAGTGTTCCTTGATTGAGACCATACATACCAGTCTATAGTAATGGTGAGACTGTAAATTAGCCTAGAGACACAAGCACATTCTTTTCAGATCTATGGCTCTACCAAGCTCTATTGCAAACAAGTAGCAACAGGAGAGATTACAACTGCCTAAAATATGTGCTACAACATTTACATGTTGCTAAGACCCCTCTAAGTTGAGCTCTTTATGCAAGCAATGGGGGAACATCACCATCCAGTCTGTGCTTGTTTTCTACAAAAAGCCTATGGAAAACCTAATTTTTGGAATCTAGGAAATTCCGAGGTTAACCACAAAAGCTACTGATTTTAAGCACCTAGACGTTTAAGGCACTACTGGAAAACAGGCAGTCTGAACTGCTGTTCGCAAGTTGGGTGTCTAAATCCCCACTTGGGAAGGATTTGATGCAGTCTAGTTTTGCACCAAGGCTAGCAAGTGATCAGAAATGCAAAGGAAAACAAAGAATCCTTACTTTAACAAAGCTCATTCGAATAGTACACATCTTGGTCAGCTCATACACCACTTCAAAACCATGATTGACTGACTGGGCAAGCAGCTGGGCGAAGAGCTGGTTGTTAAAGATCTTGAGGCTGCAGCCACTGGGGATCTTGCATACTGTGGCTGGGTGGAAACCATGCTGATAGTTACAGTTGCGGCTTTGCACAAAAATACTGCTGTCACTGACACATTCGGCATAAACCTCCCCACCGACGTAGTAGAGATGAACACCTTGAAAAAGAAAAAGTAACATGGATTATTTCTCCATTGTTTACAACACACTTTATATCAGTAATTCCTTAACTATTTTGCTAGTATTGGCATACAAGCCCAGGATGATTCCAGGCACTCAGTGCTTATACACTGCCTTTTCAAAGACAGTAGTGTGCATATCCATGTCTGTACAATGGACCCACCAACTTTAAGAGGAAATTGTCATAAAAGCCATTTGGAGGTATTAATCTACGGGAAGAAGTCTTGGCATGTGATGTTTTTCCTTGTTTCTCACCGACTGAAGGTTGGTTTACTTCTTTAACCCAACAGCATAGTACTTTATGACATATACACGCACATACAGAATCACAGAATCACAGAATGTCA